TTTTCCTTTCTTTCTTTTTCTTTGTCTCCTTTTTTTTTTCTTCTCTCTCTCTCAGTTTTTGAGTGGATATCATATAGTGGGTAACAATTCTAAGACTATGTCACCAAGACTGAACTTATGTTTTCCAACCTTGCGGCCAATAGATTTTTTTATTCGAACTTAGGATGACTTAAAATTTTCTGGAGCCAATTCACAAGCACGTTAGAGTCTGGACCGAAACTTGGAAACGTAATCCAACAAGTGCATTTCTTTCTGATTGTATTCCAACCATTGTTCTATCAGCAACTTCGAAGGACCATGCACTGAATGACCAAACACCAACTCAAACAGGCTAAACCCTAATGACTCCCGAACTGACTCACGAACAGCAAATAATAATAAATTAACTCCTTTATCCCAATCCTTTTCGTTATCGAGACAGTAAGTCTGCATCATATTTTTCAAGGTAGAATGGAATCTTTCAAGAGCACCTTGCAATCCTGGATGGTACGCATTAGATTTAATCTGTTTAGCACCAAGTTGCAAAACAACTTGTGGAAACAATCCTGACATAAAATTTAATCCCTGTTCAGACTGAATTTATTTAGGTAAGCCGACTAAAGTAAAGAATTTAATCAAAGCCTTAGACTTTTTTGGGCTGAAATGTTTCTCAAAGGTAAAGCTTCAGGGAATCGAGTGGATGCATACATGATAGTTAACAAATACTGATTCCCTGATCAAGTGTTTGGTAAGGGGCCAACACAATGAACAATCCCATAACTGCCTTCTTCGAAAGCTTTGATAGGTTTCAGCAGAGAAACAGGAATTTTCTGGTTAGGTTTTCCGACCAACTGACAGGTATGACAAGATTTACAAAACCGAGAAATATCTTGCCTAATTTTTGGCGAAAAGAAATGTCTCATAATTTTGTCACATGTTTTGTTGACACCTAAATGACCTCCCATAATACGATATGCTTTAGGAACAACGATTTGGTAAATAATAGCCCAGTCTTCCACATCTGGTGGTCTACATTTCCTCATATAGACAAATCTATAATATCGTCCTCTAAATCCATGCTTATCATTTGTTTTTGGCTTAATTTCTTAGCCTGAGCTCGAGTCACAGCACACAAGGTAAACACATCGGGATTCTCCTCAACGACAACATAATCCTTAGATGAAACAGTGATCGACTCGCTAACCATTTTAGGTTCGACAACAACTTTTCCCACAGATAAATCGTTTCCCAACAATAATTACACACCCTTAATTGGCAGAGTAGGTCCTACTCCAACCACAACTGGTC